GTGCTGAGTTCCTAGCTCCATCCGCCTGCAGCTGCTGTAAAAAAAAAAAGTACCCCATTTTCCCTGCTGGATTTGTGTGATTTACCTATGAAGAATGTGTGGAGGATTTAGAAGCAGAACTGGAAACTATTCCAGGAAGATACAGTGAAGGAAATGTGTATTTGCTCCCCTGCTGATGCTGAATGTTCGCCCCTCACACAGAAACGATCGGTCTAACAATGGAATGTTCGCCCCTCACACAGAAACGATCGGTCTAACAATGGAATGTGTTCGCCCCACACACAGAAATGATCGGTCTAACAATGGAATGTTCGCCCCTACAGAAATGGAATGTTCGCCCCTCGAAATGATCGGTCTAACAACATGTTCTGTAACACTGAGAGACAGAATACAACAACAAATTCAGCAGAAATGCGTCTAACAAATGATGACTGATCTGCATGTTCATGAGGGAAAGAAGGATTTGATCCCCTATCATTCAGCAGGATTTCTGGCTCCCAGGTGTCTTTCATACAGGTAACAAGCTGAGATTAGAAGCAGTCTCTTAAAGGGAGTGCTGCTAATCTCATTGTGTTACCTGTATAAAAGATACCTGTCCACAGGAGCAATCAAACCATCAGATTCCAAACTCTCCACCATGGCAAAGACCAAAGAGCTGTCCAAGGATGTCAGGGACAAGATTGGTAGACCTACACAAGGCTGGACTGGGCTACCAAACTATGGCCAAGCAGCTTGGTGAGAAGGTGACAACAGTTCGGTGCAATCATTCACAAATGGAAGAAACACAAAACAAGTGTCAGTCTCCCTAGGTCTGGTGCACCATGCAAGATCTCACCTCGTGGAGTGTCAATGATCATGAGAACAGTGAGGAATCATCCCAGAACTACACGTGAGGATCTTGTCAATGATCTCCAGGCAGCTGGGACCCACAGTCACCAAGAAAACAATTGGTAACACACTATGCCGACAAGGACTGAAATCCTGCAGTGCCCGCACGGTCCCTCTGCTCCAGAAAGCACATGTCCAGGCCCGTCTGAAGTCTGCCACTGAACATCTGAATGATGCAGAGGAGGACTGGTGAAAGTGTTTGTGGTCAGATGAGACCAAAATCCAGCTCTTTGGCCTCAACTCAACGCATGTGTTTGGAGAAGGAGGAATGCTGCCTATGACCCCAAGAAAACCATCCCAACTGTGAAACATGGTGGTGGAAACATTCTCCTTTGGGGGTGTTTTTCTGCTAAGGGGACAGGACAACTGCAACGCGTCAAAGGGACGATGGACGTGGCAATGTACCCTCAAATCTTGGGTGAGAACCTTCTTCCCTCAGCCAGGGCATTGAAAATGGGTGGTGGATGGGTGTTCCAGCATGACAATGACCCAAAACACACGGCCAAGGCAACAAAGGAGCGGCTCAAGAAGAAGCACATTAAGGTCCTGGAGTGGCCTAGCCAGTCTCCAGACCTTAATCCGATTGAAAATCTGTGGAGGGAGCTGAAAGTTCGAGTTGCCAAACGTCAGCCACCAAACCTTATTGACTTGGAGAGGATCTGCCAAGAGGAGTGGGCCAAAATCTCTCCTGAGAGATGTGTGGGAACCTGGGGGCCAACTCCAGGAAATGTCTGACCTCTGTGATTGCCAACAAGGGATTTGCCAGCAAGTACTAAGTCATGTTTTGTGAAGGAGATCAAATCCTTCTTTCCCTCATGAACATGCAGATCAGTCATCATTTGTTAGACGCATTTCTGCTGAATTTGTTGTTGTATTCTGTCTCTCAGTGTTACACCGAACATTCCATTGTTAGACCGATCATTTCTTTGTGAGGGGCGAACATTCCATTGTTAGACCGATCATTTCTGTGTGAGGGGCGAACATTCAAACTCAGCAGGGGGAGCAAATACACATTTCCTTCACTGGTATCACCTCTAAAGTACCCCAAAAACCATAAGAAGGTGATGCAACGCGTCAAACTCCACCTCTACCTGAAATCTCGTATTTCTATGACTTGACCCTTTAAAGTGGAGCAGCAGCCCAAAATGTCTTTCCTTTCTCAGGCTCTTATTGCTGTGTGTGTTCCCATGGGAAGATTTTCTGTCACTTCCCGTCTTGGTGGCACAACAGGATCTGAGTGACACGCTCCTGAGAGTTAGAGGAAATCCCAGCTCTTGTCTGTGGAACTAGCGTCCCCAATGGAAGGCTGCCAGGTCATTTGGTAAATATGCCTGATGGGGACACAGCACTTAACCTAACCTCTCTCTTTCTCTCTCTACCTGATCGCTCTAAACCTGGAAAAGAAAAACTGGCATTTCATTTTTAAAGGAAACCCTATTAAAAATGCTTGTTGCTTGAATTTCATATTGTCTGGGCCAGAACAAGCGCGCTGGTCAGAGGTCTTTGCTAAGCCTTTGTTCAGTCAAAAGTAGTGACGTTCTAAAGAGAGCCAGGCAGCTGGCATTTTCGTCAGATCATCATCAATGGCAGCACTAATGAATCCCAGGCCGAGTGTCCTTTAAAGTGGACCGGAACTTAAAAAAAAAAAAAATTAAGGTCTGCTATGTACAGGTGACATCTAAAAATGTTACTTGTGGCTAAACAGCACCCTGAAAAAAATCAACACACATCGTCTAGAATTGCTACAGAAATAAAAATAGTGTACTTCCTGTGCCTAGGCACACTGCATGTCTGCAGTTTGAGATCACCTAAGGCACTGCTGCCCGTGATAAGGAGTGAGATTTGGTGATGTCACTACTGTACTGCTCATGGTTCTCTTGCCTGGAGGGGAAGCTGTTTCTGAGGATCTGCAGTGAACGGATCTCCCTGCTTCTGCTTCATCCATCCCTCCTGATCCTATCATTACCCTGCCAGTCACCAGGGGGGCAGCTCTGACCTGAGGGAGGAAGGAAGGCCCTGCTCCTCCACCAAATCTTCTCCCGCCACATGGCATGGTAAGCCACCAGCTGGGAAAAGTTGAGCTGCAGGAGACCGTGGGCAATGCGGGTGACTAGCCCCTGCCTTATTGGGCACAGCTTCCAGGGTAGGGGCTTGTTCACACAAGTGGTAAAAGTAGGTAGATGGGCCATGGTTTGACCTGTCCCCGATCACCCATCTATGCTAAGGTATGCATGTGCCAAGACAAAAATGAAATGGCATGTCGCTTTCGGCAGGTGGTACTGCCACTGAATCACACCCATTCAAATGAATGGGGCCATGCTCCAACCACATGCAATGCAAGTGTTTGTGACGCACTGGGTCAGCATTTCGAGGGTTAAAGCAGGCGGTAAGGAGGAGACCTATTGCCTCCTCGCCGCTTGCCCTCAGAAAACAAACGCCACTGCGGTTCGCCTTTCAGAGAGGCCACGGTGTAGCCGATAAACCCTACAGGTAATTTTTGGGTTGTAGATACCGCTTTGTATCCCCCGTGACAGGCTTGTCAAATTTTTGTAGGAAGAGCTCATTGGAGGTCGGTTCCTATTCATGCAAGTACAACCCCAGTACTACATCTCCCAAGAGTTCCTTCAGCTAATTTACTACAGGAGTTAAGAACCTTCAAACTATACTAAATGTGTGCCGTTAATTATCCAATCACATGACAGGCAACTTCCCATTCAACTACCAAGATCACGGACAGATGAAAAAAAGTGAACACAAACTTTCAAAAAAGCCAATAGTCTTCGAATTCTTGTGTGAATCAGGCGCAGGGTGTGGTCATGCTCTTGGGAGTCAAGGCCACAGCATTGTTTGCTGGGGAATTAATAAATGTATTAATATGTAGATCGGACAGAGGGGCGGGGATAAGAAAGAAGTGCTGGAGTCTACCAGGCGGGGCTGACAACACTGCTAGGGATTTCAGAGCAGCATAGGCTGTTTGTTGTCAGCTGAAACAGGAAGTTAGGTGCTCCCTGGATTTCTGGCAGATCAGCAGATACTTCTCTGGACTTGCACCATTGAAACATGGGGAAATGTTCATATAGCAGAAGATACACTATATTCCCAAAAGTATTGGGCCCATGGGTGGACTGACCATTCGAGCACTCAGGCCCTGGGTCAGTAGGGGGCCCCATGAAATGCTCCTGGTACCTTTTTTATAGGCTTGAGTGTGGGCAAGGACAAAGGGGCCCCATGATCCCCTATTACCCAGGGGCCCCATGAGTTATCAGTCCGCCCCTGATTGGGCCGCCTGCCTTTCCACACACATGACCTTTAATGGCCCCCCAGTCTTAGTCCGCAGGTTCAATATTGAGTTGGCCCCGCCCTTTCCACACACATGGACTTTAATGCCCCCCATCTTAGTCTGCAGGGTTCAATATTGAGTTGGCCCCGCCCTTTCCACGCAGACCTAATGGCCCCCCAGTCTTAACAATATTGAGTTGGCCCCACCCTTTGCAGCTATAACAGCTCAACTCTTCTGGGAAGGCCGTCCACAAGGTTTAGGAGGGTGTCTATGGGAAGGTTGGACCATTCTTCCAGAAGCACATTTGTCAGGTCAGGCACTGATGTCGGGGGAGGAGGCCTGGCTCGCAGTCTCCGCTCTAATTCATCCCAAAGGTGTTCTATGGGGTTGAGGTCAGGACTCTGTGCAGGACAGTCAAGTTCCTCCACCCCAAACTGGCTCCTCCATGTCTTTATGGACCTTGCTTTGTGCACAATCATGTTGGAAAAGGAAGGGCCATCCCCAAACTCTTCCCTCAAAGCTGGGAACATGAAATTGTCCAAAATGTTGCCTTAAGAGTTCCCTTCACTGGAACTAGGGGGCCAAACCCAACCCCTGAGAAACAACCCCACACCATAATCCCCCCTCCACCAAACTTTACACTTGGCACAATGCAGTCAGGCAAGTACCGTTCTACTGGCAACTGCCAAACCCAGATATGTCCATCAGATTGCCAGACAGAGAAGCGTGATTGGTCACTCCAGAGAACACGTCTCCTCTGCTCTAGAGTCCAGTGGCGGCGTGCTTTACACCACGGCATCCGACGCTTTGCATTGCACTTGGTGATGGAAGGCTTGGATGCAGCTGCTCGGCCATGGAAACCCATTCCATGAAGTTCTCTACGCACTGTTGTTGGGCTCATCTGAAGGTCACACCAAGTTTGGAGGTCTTTAGCTATTGACTCTGCAGACAGTTGGCGACTTCTGCGCACTGTGCGCTTCAGCATGCGCTGACCCCGCCCTGTCATGTGACGTGGCCTACCACTTGGTGGCTGTTGTTCCCAGTTGCTTCCACTTTGTTATAATCCCACTAACAGTTGAGCGTGGAATATTTAGTAGCCAGGAAATGTCACGGATGGACTTATTGCCCAGGTGGCCACCTATCACGGGACCACGCTTGGAGTCACTGAGCTCCTGAGAGCGACCCATTCTTTCACCAATGTTTGTAGAAGCAGTCTGCATCCCTAGGGGCTTGATTGTATCCACCTGTGTCCATGGAGGGGATTGGAACACCGGAATCACATGATTTGGAGGGGATTGGAACACCTGAATCACATGATTTGGCGAGGATTGGAACACCTGAATCACATGATTTGGAGGGGATTGGAACACCTGAATCACATGATTTGGAGGGGATTGGAACACCTGAATCACATGATTTGGAGAGGGATTGGAACACCTGAATCACATGATTTGGAAGGTGGGCCCAAAACTTTTAGCAATAAAGTGTATATTGATTAGGCGTTTTTATTCTGGCCAGACATACACTTTAACCCCTTCGGCAAAAAGGTGGGCTTTAACACCAAAACGCCACACATATGTGTCAGTGGGTGGTCAGCTCTCAGTCCGGGGTTAAAATTGGTAGGCAGCGGGACTGCCATCCAGTCATGTGACCACTGTAACAGCAGTCACGTGATTGGCAATCACTCCCACCCCTCCAAGCAATTGGGGTGGACAGGAAGAGGTTAGCTACCAATCACCCAGCATCATTTCTATGCGGCAGCTGGTAGACTGGGATTTGAAACACATTTCTAGAGCAGCCTTAGGCTGGCCATACATTATACAATTTTCTTGAGATTTTTGGTTTAGATTTACCAAAAACCATATAATAGGAGGTCAAAACTAATAACACTTTCAATTGTATCCAATCAGGCGGGCCCTCGCACTGCATAGTTGAAGGTGGCTCAAGGGTTAGCATTTCTGCCTGGCAGTACTTGGGTCGTTGGTTCGAATCCCAGCCATGGCACCTCCTGCCTGGAGTTTGCATGTTTTCCCTGTGCCTGCGTGGGTTTCCTCCTGTTTCCTCCCACACTCTAAATACATGCTGGTAGGTGAATTGTCTCCTGTCTAAATTGTCCCTAGTATATGTATGTATATGTATGAATTGTGTGAGTTGGGGGACCTTAGATTGTACGCCCCTTGAGGGTGGGGGACCTTAGATTGTACGCCCCTTGAGGGTGGGGGGACCTTAGATTGTACGCCCCTTGAGGGTTGGGGACCTTAGAGATTGTACCTTAGATCGCCCCTTGAGGGTTGGGGACCTTAGATTGTACGCCCCTTGAGGGTGAGGGACCTTAGATTGTACGCCCCCTTGAGGGTTAGGGACCTTAGATTGTACGCCCCTAGGGACCTTAGATTGGTTAGGGACTGATGTGAATGTACAATATATATGTAAATGGATGGTGCTATATAAGTACCTGAAATAAATCTAAAGGAAATTGGACAGAAAATTGTATAGTGTATGGCCAGCCCTACCCATTCACATATATGCATTTTATGCTTTCTCCAGTGCGTTTTTTTTTTCTGGTCTTTTTTTCTTTGTTAGTCACATATATGCGGGGCAGTACATCGCATATGATTCCCACAGTGAACCGCACCGCATTCCTGTGCCAATCGCATGCCGATTTGTGTGCGGTGCGATCGGAGCTGTACATTTTGTATGGCTCTAATCACACCAAAAAGGTGCAGGACCTTTTTTTGGGTCCGCACTAGAATCAGATTGAATGGGTATTCACACCTATGCGATCTGATTCTGCACACCGCACCACGTTTTGCAGACCATTTTCAGGGTGTTAACGTGAAATACACACCCGCAGCGGTTGGCATGAACGGGGTGCGATTCTAATGCGGTGGGGAATTTGCTGCGAATTCCGCACCGCCTCAGTGTGAACCTGGGCTTATAGTGGAATTTTTGTTTGTTGCTGGGCAGAATAAACATGCAAAACGCAGTAAAAACACACTACCACACATTTTAACAGCTTTGCTATTGTAGCAAAAACGCTGCTTTTTGCTTAAATTAAAAAAAAAAAGGTTCCTGACCCTTCCCAAAAACGCAGCGGCTCAAAACCGGCATCGATGTGAATGTGTTCCATAGGGAACCATGTTAACCCCTTCACGCCGGTGTCTCCCAGCCCTTTAAGAGTTTCAGAAGCGGGACGAGTGCGGAGTTTAGGGTCATGTGACCACCATGACACACCGTCACATGATCTGGAAAGGTCCCGATCGAAAGAGGAGATGGGACCTTTCCGTGAGTACCGGACATGTGTCCTGGGAGGGCGCGCGCTCTCAGCACATATGTTTTTTCTTAATAGAATGCAAATGTGCGGCCGCTCGGCCTCTAGGCGCACCAAATTTGTGTGCGGCGGGCATGAAGAGGTTAAAATGGACAGTAGCGCGTTTCTACAAAAAGTACTAAAAAAAAAGAAAAAAAACTTACTAGTGTGAACAGAGCCTTACAAAGCCCGTTGAAGGTACTGCCCCCCACTGGCCAACTGCTCTCATCCTGTGACTTGGGCTCGCTGTCCCATGTGCAGAACGGGGACCAACATGGCGGCTGGAATGGAGAGAGTTCTGCTGACCAATCTTCCAAAGAATGAAGGAGGAAGCCATGTGCATTACACCTCTTCCAGGGAATGTTGGAGACACAATCCGACACATTCAAGAAATGCACTAAAGTTTAATAATCTGCATGTAACAAAACATAACAAAATATTTTACTCTACGGGAAGCAGCGCGGGATCCCAGAATGCACTGCGATAGCTGAACCCACAGGAGCGCTAGGACAGGATTTATTTTCGGCATTGAGAAGAGATTATCTTTAGTAGCAAAAACGAGAGAAAAGTCTGTTAGATCAGAGAGGTGATGAGCACGGCTGCATGGAGGAGGCACTGCAAGGTGGATGGCGAAGGACGGACTCCGCTCAGTCGTCATAAGCAATCGTTTTATATATATAAGTGATCTCCTCTTCCTTGGTCTTCCCCAGCTGGGTGGTGGACAGGGTCACCTTTTCCTGCTCGTGTGGCAAGGCTTTGTGTACGCGAAGATGACAGTATTCATCGCCACCGACCTGGACCTAAAGAAAGAACAAGCTTCAGAAGAAAGGAAATGATCTATAAATCCCCAGACATGGATCGATCGATTGTGTGTTGTTAACCACTTCCCGTCCGGCCCATGTATATAAACGGCCAGATGGTGGCAGTGCAGGGGCGGGTTGCCTTTCATAAACAGCGCCCGCCATTTTGGACTGTGCGCGCTCCCTGGAGTGCGCGGCGCTGCAAGCCAGTTCGGACACAGCAAATACCGATCGCTATACGGGACCTCTGTGTGATGTCCCCATGTGATCACTGCCTGGCCAAATCTGTGATCACATGAATAGTAGTAAGCAAGATGTCACTTCCTGACATCATTGCTTACTACTAGAACACTGATCGTTGTACGGGACCCCTGTGCGAGGTCCCGATCATGTGAGCACCGATTGGCCAATCAGTGATCACATGAATAGGTGTAATTAAGACGTCACTTCTGACATCATTGCTTACTACGCGTGAAATCTCTGAATGATCACAGAGATCACATGGTACAGGGCTATTCACAAACAACCTTGTACCATGTGAGAAGATGTGACCAATCGCAGCTCACACAGTATTTCTCAATGGCTGCAAGAATGCAGCCAGAGAGAAGGAGAAATGATTGCTTTTACAGACTTTATGGGTGTAAAAGCAATCAGTGTAAAAAAAAACAAAACAAAAACACCTCTTCATCACCCCCCCACAAGTAGTTTTTTCTTAATAGAATGCAAATGTGCGGTTCCCGCTCGGCGTCTAGGCGCACCAATTTGTGTGCGGCAGACGTGAAGAGGTTAAAAGGATGGTAGCGCGTTTCTGCAAAAAGTACTAAAAACGCATTGGTGTGAACAGAGCCTTACAAAGCCCATTGAAGGTACTGCCCCCCCACTGGGGGGGGCGATGGTGACACTTTACTGGTAGGGTGACAGTATGTTAGAAAAAACAAATTAAATAAAATGTAAACTTTTTTTAAATTATAATTTTTGGTTATAAACGAATTTGGGTTATTTTTTTTTTTTTACTAAAAAAGATAACGGAATAAACGTTGCCCAAGATTTATGAAGAAAGATTATTTGCAAAATTTGATAAGAAAAAAAACACTTTCAAAATTTTCTGACTTTCATTTATATAGCAAAAATAAAAATCCCAGCGGTGAATAAATACCACCAAAATAAAGTTTTATCTGTCTCAAAAAAAATGCTAAAATTCATATGGGTACAGTGTTGCATGACCGCGCAATTGTCATTCACAGTGTGACAGCGCTGAAAGCTGAAAATTGGCCTGGACTGGAGGGGGGGCAAAAGTGTCCGGACTGAAAGTGGTTACAATACACAAAGGGAGAAGATTTGGGCTTACTACATGCATGTTCAGGTATCACCATGCAGGCAGACCCACACATTTCAATTGGGATGCAGCAGCTGCATGGACACTGCTCTGGGACCCAATCACACTCTGACTTCGATGTGGCTGCATGGCCACAAATGCAGGCAAAGTGGGAGCAGCTGCTGTGGCCTAATTGACATGAATGGCACTGCCTGCATAGGAGATACACAAACACTCGTTTATCCCCCATACAGGTGAACATGGCACTCACACACGTGTGCGCTATAATAAAAAAAAAAAAAAAAAAAGTCCCACTTTTCTACATTAACCCCTCACCCTCCAAAGGATCCCCCCCCCTCCTGACCAGGACATTTTTTGCATTAAGCTGCTGCGTTACTTTAACTGACAATTTCGCGGTCATGCAACACTGCGCCCAAATATAATTTATGTCTTTTTTCCCCATGAATTGAGCTTTTGGTGGTTTTTGATCGCCGTGCGGTTTTTTTTGCGCCAACAAAAAAAGACTGACAATTTTGAAGAAAAAAAAAATATATATATTTTGCCATAAATTTAGGCCAGAATGTATTCTGCTCCGCGTCTAAATTAATTGGTTTACATGAAAGTTATAGCGTCTACAAATGGCGGTATAGATAATGGGATTTTTTTTCTACTAGCAATGGCGGCGATCAGCAACTTTCAGAAGGACTGCGGTGGGCATTCTGACATTGGGGGGGAACTGACTTGGTGTCACTGATACCCCAGTGACACCAATACAGTGATCAGTGCTAAACAAACAAAAAAAAAAAAAAAAAACCCAGACACTGTACTAATGGAACTAATGTAAGCACACTGATCTGGATGGCTGTGCACAGCACAGCTTTCCGGAGTAGTGTACATGAGCTGACAGGGAGGAAGATTTGTAAACAAAACAATCTTCCTTCCCATTGGTAATCATTGGGCGCCGGTGGGCAATTACCAGCCAGGGCCCGGTGATTGGCATCTGCAAATGGCGGTGCAGGTAGAGCGCGCGTGGCAAAATATATGCGCAATACTGCGCACAGGTGCTGCCCTGTAGCAGTATATCTGCTATAGGGCGTTCCTTAAGCGGTTAAGGGCTGATTCACACCATAGAAACCCCAATTCGGATTCCGGTGCGTTTTTGATGCCATTTCACTGCGTTCTAGTACAGTGCAGGAAAAATGCAGCATGTTCTACTTTTTTCCTGGAACTGACTGCACTGGTGTGAACTATTGGAAACCATGTCACCTACTAGCCATGTGTTTTTGATGCAGAAAAGCAAACAAACAAAACAACAAAAACAAAAAACAAAACACCACAACAAAAAAAAAACAAAAAACAAAAAAAACACGACACGACAAAAAACAAAACCAACATGCACTGTACATGTGGTGTGAACTGGCCCTAAAATATTAAATTTTGTCTTTGGGTTTTGCTTACTTCCTGTCTTTAGGACCACACAGGAAGGAAGAAGTGTCCATAAAGGCCGAGAGAAATGACACTAAAACCACACTGAGGTTTAAATCCCTCTCTACTCATCCTGGCTGATGATGTGCAAACATGGTCTCCTATAGCTAGTATGGATCCAGGTCTCCGGGGGTCACGATGCAGCATGCCGGGCCATCTCCCGCCATTGCCTGGTGTCAGCATAGGCTGTCAGAAGTGACCCGAGCAGAAAGGGGGAGGAGACAGAAATGACACATTTTGCTCTGGATTGAGGCAAGTGCACACTATGGAGGGATATGCTTTGTTCATTTTTCATTTCAGAAGTTTGCAACCAATTTAGCGTCCAGCTGCTCCACACATGCATCTGTGCTGAGGGAGCACTCCCGGCACGCTGCCTGAGCTGTCAACAGCGGGACAGGCTTCCCGATCATGTGACTGCTGTGACAGCCCAATGGGACTCATTGGCAAATTTAGAAAAAAAAAACAAAAAACAAAAAGAAGAAGACAGGGTTTCTAACTGCCACATGAAATTTTGGCTTTAGATCGGATTTATTTGGTACCACAAGGTCTGCGATATTGTGATTTCCGAGTGTTGTAGTCACCCCGCCACAGACCAGACAGGTAACCCGCAGCGCAGGCTGTACTTGCCTTAATGAAGTAGTTTGTTCCATTGACCAGTTGGGATTTGTAGGCGATGGCAAGGAATGTGTCAAAGGTTCGTCCATTTTTCTCTTCCACCTCCGCCTTCACCTAGAAGAGGGGAAAAACAAAAACCACAAAGCAAGGGACACAAAAAAAAAAAAAAAAAAAAAAAAAAACACAACACAAAAACAAAAACAAAAGTGAAAATAGGGACAAAAAAAAAAAAAAGTGTAAAAAAGGAACAAAATAGGGGCAAACATGGGGACAAAAAAAAAAAAAAAAATAGTGGGCAAACATGGGACAAAAAAAAAAAAAAAATAGGGGCAAACATGGGACAAAAAAAAAAAATAGGGGCAAACATGGGACAAAAAAAAAATAGGGGCAAACATGGGAAAAAAAAAGTGTAAAAAAAAAAAAAAAATAGGGGCAAAAAACATGGGACAAAAAAAACAAAAGCGAAAATAGGGACAAAAAACAAGTGTAAAAAAGGAACAAAATAAGGACAAAAAAAAAAAAAAAAAAAAAAAAAAAAAAAAAAAAAAAAAAAAAAAACACAAAGCGAAAATAGGGACAACAAACAGACAAAAAAAAATCGATTACTTTTGAGGTACGAGTTTCCGTTCTACTGCAAAGCTTTCGGCACACATTAAGCTTCCTGTAAGCGATTGTAAAATATTATTAAAATAATAAAATTGGTCATACTTGCCTGCGCTGAGTAATGCTTTTGCGCAGCGTGACCCAGACCCTTCTTGGTCCCCCCACCAGTACTCCTGGCTCCTCCCACCTGCCGAGTGCCCCCATAAGAAGCTGCTTCCGATGGGGGCATTCATGTGTGCTCGCTCCCAAGTTGAGCTGTTTTCAGCCACTTAGACACCGAGCCCAACTCAGCCACACACCCCCATCCCCCCCCCCCCCCACTCGCTCTCTGCTCACATGTTTTGACTGACAGCAGCAGCCGCCAATGGCTTCCACTGCTCTCAGCCAAGCCTGAAAGAGCCGAGAGAGGGGAGCTGCACAGAGCTGGATTGAGGTCAGGCTCAGGTGAGTGTTTAGGTGGGGGTGGGGATGGGGGGGCCATGTAAAGTTCTCTTCTTTTTACCTTCGTGCAGAGAATACACAGGGCAATGAAAAGGTTTTCCTTTATACCCACTAAGTTGTACGCTGGGCTCAGGCAGCAATGGGGGTGTTGGCTGTGGCTTTATACAAGCTGTTAGCAGACAGACAGCAAAATTAAAGTTAGATTCTTAGATTTTGTATTTGTGGTCGGATGTGCTGGATCAGCAGACGTTCCTCATGGAGGATCCGGAGAGTGAAAGGGGAACCTGCACACGAGACGCTGCGGCTGGTTACTCAGCGCAGACAACGGCAGGTGATCGGGTCACATGATCCGGGTGCGGCTAAATCATGTTATGATGAGTCACCTGCTGAGAGGACTGAAGAGTTCTAATTGCAGATCTGAATCTGTGGAGCCCGAGGGGGGGGGGGGGGGGGGAGGACCGATCCTCCATAATGGTCAGATTTATACAATGCAAAACGCTTTACCATGAAGAGTCTACTACTACTACCTACTCCGCCGACACGGGGCCCCCCCACCACTACCTCCTCCGCCGACACGGGGCCCCCCCCACCACTACCTACCTCTCCGCGGCGGACACGGGGGCCCCCCCCACCATCACTACCCTACCTCCGCCGACACGGGGGCCCCCCCCACCATCACTACCTCCTCCGTCGACACGGGGCCCCCCCCCCCACCACTACCTCCTCCGTCGACACGGGGCCCCCCCACCACTACCTACTCCGCAGACACGGGGCCCCCCCACCACTCCCCTACCTCCTCCCCCCGACACCCCACCCCCCCCCCCCCACCCACCACAGGGCCCCCCCCACCACTACCTCCTCCGCCGACACAGGGCCCCCCCCCCTACACCTCCCTCCTCCCCACCCAACAAATCGAGGGCCCATCACTTCCTTCCTTTTCCAGAACCCATCACTACCTCCACCAAGCACCCCATCACTTTGTTCACCACCAAGGAGCACCCCAACAATCACTTCCTCCTCCATCAACGAGCGCCCCCACCACTACCTCCTCCCCTCACATCTTCTTGAGCAGATAAAAAGGAACACACTTTACATGAATGGCCCTCCATAGAGGATGGAGCTATTAACTGAAGATACAGAGGGAAGTTCCCCCAGCAATCCATCTATATAAAACCCCAGTCCCCCATATGATGTCCATGTCATATATGAGAACAGAGGAGTCCCCAGGCTCACAGCAGCTCATGTTATTTATACACAGATCTGAAGATGAAACTGTTTTTTTTTTTTTAAATATTTGTCTGATGTTTAAACACTCTGGTTTTGAAGGACAATAACTGCCCCCCCCCCTCCGCCCCCCTCCTCCTCCTCTCCTGGTGGGTGACATCACACATGGCTCCACACCTGGCTGAGCACAATAAAAAAACTGAAGAGACAATTTAATAAAAAGGAAATACTTTTGTTGCCATAGCAACAGCTTCCAAGTTATTTCCAGTCTGCCTTCTGATTGGTTGCTATGGGTGATAATCATCCAGCAAATTCTGCCTTCATTGAGGGTCTCCCTCCACTGTATTTCATCATATGATCCCCTATAATAACATTCTACATTGATACATTGTATCCTCAGTCACCTGAGCACCATAGGGATACATTGTATCAGTGCAGTCACATGACAACACCCCCCCTCTACACACTGATACATTGTATCCCTGCCCCCCTACACCCACACTGATACATTGTATCCCCCCTTACACTCATACATTGTGTATCCCCCCCCCCTACACTCACACTGATACATTGTATCCCCCCCCCCCCTACACTCACACTGATACATTGTATCCCCCCCCCTACACTCACACTGATACATTGTATCCCCCCCCCTACACTCACACTGATACATTGTATCCCCCCCCCCCCTACACTCACACTGATACATTGTATCCCCCCCCCCCTACACTCACACTGATACATTGTATCCCCCCCCCCTACACTCACACTGATACATTGTATCCCCCCCCCTACACTCACACTAATACATTGTATCCCCCCCCCCTACACTCACACTGATACATTGTATCCCCCCCCCCCTACACTCACACTAATACATTGTATCCCCCCCCCTACACTCACACTAATACATTGTATCCCCCCCCCCTACACTCACACTAATACATTGTATCCCCCCCCCTACACTCACACTGATACATTGTATCCCCCCCCCCCTACACTCACACTGATACATTGTCCCCCCCCCCCCCTACACTCACACTGATACATTGTATCCCCCCCCCCCTACACTCACACTGATACATTGTATCCCCCCCCCCTACACTCACACTGATACATTGTATCCCCCCCCCTACACTCACACTGATACATTGTATCCCCCCCCCTACACTCACACTGATACATTGTATCCCCCCCCCCCTACACTCACACTGATACATTGTATCCCCCCCCCTACACTCACACTGATACATTGTATCCCCCCCCTACACTCACACTGATACACTGTATCCCCCCCCCCTACACTCACACTGATACATTGTATCCCCCCCCCCTACACTCACACTGATACATTGTATCCCCCCCCCCTACACTCACACTGATATATTGTATCCCCCCCTACACTCACACTGATACACTGTATCCCCCCCCCTACACTCACACTGATACATTGTAACCCCCCCCCCCCTACACTCACACTGATACATTGTATCCCCCCCCCCTACACTCACACATTGTATCCTCAGTCCCCTGGCCCCGGGATACATTGTATCATCTCGCAGTCACCTGGTCGCACAGCTCCTGCACGGTGGCATTGGCCGGTTTGGTCCCCCCGACTCCTCCGCACTGCATCGGCATTATGCTGGTTGGGTGTCAGCCGGTCTCTGCCTGTTCCTGTCTATATATCCCCGGATGTACCATCTGTGGGGGGGAGGGAGGGGGATCTGCGTACAGTGCTGTGTCAGCATTCCACATCCCCAGCAGTTTCTGTACCCCCCCCCTTGTGTGGTACAATCTGGTCACATGACCTCTGACAGGACAGGAGGAGGGAGGTGCAGACAGGAGCATGTGATAGGATGGCAACCTGCTGAGGGCTCATCACATCTCTGGGGACAAGACCCTCATATCATAACAGGGTGGGCACAGGACCCTCATATGATGACAGGGTGGGCACAGGACCCTCATATGATAACAGGGTGGGCACAGGACCCTCATATGATGACAGGGTGGGCACAGGACCCTCATATGATGACTGGGTGGGCACAGGACCCTCATATGATGACTGGGTGGGCACAGGACCCTCATATGATGACAGGGTGGGCTCAGGACCCTCATATGATGACTGGGTGGGCACAGGACCCTCATATGATGACTGGGTGGGCACAGGACCCTCATAACAGGGTGGGCACAGGACCCTCATATGATGACAGGGTGGGCACACAGGACCCTCATATGATGACAGGGTGGGGACAGGACCCTCATAGATGACAGGGTGGGGACAGGACCCTCATAGATGACAGGGTGGGCACAGGATCCTCATATGATGACAGGGTGGGCACAGGATCCTCATATGATGATAGGGTGGGTACAGGACCCTCATATGATGACAGGGTGGAGACAGGACCCTCATATGATGACAGGGTGGAGACAGGACCCTCATATGATGACAGGGGTGGGCACAGGATACTCATATGATGACAAGGAGGGCCACAATGCCCTCATATGATGACTGGGTGGGCACAGGACCATCATATGATGACAGGATGGGCACAGGATCCTCATATGATGACAAGTAGGGCCACAGGACCCTCATGATGACAGGGTGGGCACAGGACCCTCATATGATGACAGGGTGGGCTCAGGGTCCTCATATGATGACAGGGTGGGCACAGGGTCCTCATATGATGACAGGGTAGGGACAGGATCCTCATATTATGACAGGGTGGGGACAGGGTGCTCATATGATGACAGGATGGGCACAGGATCCTCATATGATGACAGGGTGGGCACAGAATCATATGATGACAAGGAGGGCCACA